AATTTGGTTATAAGAAATTCGTGAATTGGTCCATCTTCGGCTTCCGGCTGGACCAATTTTAAGAATTTTTTATCACCAACTATTGCCTTGAAATGAAAAATCATGTTACACTAAGGCTCTAGATTAGTCTTTGAAACTGAGTTCTTATTCAGTCAACATTGAATGAGGTCTCGAATCCAACCGTTCGTGCACATATGAAAAATTTGGACAACCAGAAACCAGAAACTCTCTCGCAAACGGTTCACTGTAGAATCGGACGTTTCCAAAATCACAGACCGTGTCGCTTATACAACTTCGCTCCACAAGTCTTACTGATGCAAGAGGAACCATGTGCAGCCAAGTCTGAGTATGGAGGCCCGTTTTCTCGCTCCATCCTCTGTTGTAGTTCGAGTCCGAGCTAACCTTGACTCCTGTCCTCCGGCCCCTCGCCTACAGACAATAGACATAAACTGAACTTGCCATTGCCTCCGCCCTCACCATCATCACGCCCTATCGCCACCTCTTCAAGCATGTCTATTCAATGGCCGGTCATCTACACACAGCAGCTCTTATCTCATCGTTTTGATGCTATTGAAACAAGGGCAAATCGATTAGCATAGACTCACTCTACCATTACACCAATTTATGATTGAAAAGATTTTTTCGATTACATTCTCTCTTCACACCATCATCTCTCGCCCTCCTTGTTAGTTCCCTCTCTGTCTCTTTTTCTTTCTCACTCTCCCTCTCATACCAGACCAGTGGATTACAGTTTTCAACCAAAGCAAATGTTACACAAAGCTGAATCCTTTTACACATCTTCTTTTTCTCAGTGTCCATGGCTTACAGGCGTAGACAGGGCTGTAGATACCGCGAGAGACAGCCAGGGAACAAGAAGGCACTAATACTGCCAGTTAACATTCGCATGGGCTCGGAGACAAACAAACAAATAAACAAACAAAAAACACATACACAAGCACACAAATTCATGCATAGTGAAGAGTGTATTTGCAGACATAGCGACAGAGACATACACTTAGGAGGGTTTACGAACAGCGACTCAAACACACTTTGAGGCGGAGAGCCCAGATAGAGACAGGGAGAGGGAGTCGGACAAAGTCCTGGAGGAGACAGAGCACACGGAGAGGGAGAGGTGAAGCGGAGCCTCCTTGGCCACGTAGATCGCAATCACAGCTAAACCAACAACCGAGGCAGAATGGGAAAAAAGTGAACGAGGAGGAAACGTCGATGCGGTCTACAACAACTGCTCAAGCAATTCAGGCAAAAGTATCAACAAAGCCCAGTTGGCCTTTGGCCAAAGTGGCGTCTGAAGCTATACGGTCTTGCGGACAGTTTGCAGAAGATAAGCCAGCCTTAATCGGAGTCGAGGAGGAGGAGGAGGAGGAGGAGGAAGTTAAAAATGGCTTCAACTTTCAACCAAAGCAAAAATGAGACATTACTTTTCTTT